CCAAATTAGAGTTATTATGATAGCATGATATTAAACATCATGCTCCCTGAGGACATATTCTGTGTGGCACTTTCCTACTACCTAACACAAGACCTAGCCCGTTGTCAGCATGAGTAAATGCATGGATGACTAAATGAATGAACTGTGGCATGATCCGGTCGACACTAAGATGTGAATGAAGAGATTCTATGGGCAGGGTGACTGGTCCAAGGACCACCAACCCCATGTAATGGGAGCAAAGTTCTTTTCTAGTTCCTCATTCATAGTCTGCTGATCCCCCCGTTCAATGCAGGTATCAGCGACTGATGAAGATGGGCCCCTCAACAGTGCCATCACCTATAGCCTGGTAGGAGGGAACCAACTTGGGCACTTCACCATCCACCCCAAGAAGGGGGAACTTCAGGTAGCCAAGGCCCTGGACTGGGAGCAGGTGAGTTGAAGCGGAGAGACTCCAGCTGACCTCACCAGAATCGAGAGGCAGCCCTACTGTGGGCCCAGGGATGACTCTCAGTCAATGCTCAGTCCTCATCACTTTCCAGAGTTTCTTGAGGGTCCTCTTTGAGAGAGGAGACCAGAAGCAGTGTGAGGCTGATAGACTCTAAATCTTCACCCAATTAGAAGGGGCTCAGGCCAGCTTCTCACTGTTGACCAGCCACCATTATATGACCGTAACAGCTACTATGCAGTATTTGCTCTGTGCTAGAGATTTTGTGAAGTGTTTTATGTACATTGTCCCATTTGATCCTCAAACTAATCCTAAGAAGTTGGTTCAGCTGTTATGTTCAGAAGGTTTAGCCACCTGTTTAAAGTTACATAGCTAATAAATCATTGAGGTTAAAGTAAAAACTATATTTGTTTGTTTTTAAAACCCAAACCCTTAAAATACTATGGGTGAGCAATGGGGGAGGACAGAGGGTAGTGTCCATCTTATCTTCCTGAAAACATTAGAGATAAGACAGGGGTAGATCTGAGGGGATCATTGCTAACTTTCCACTGGACATCTTGGGACAGACAACTAAATACTTGCTGAGACTTCGTGCCACAGACAATGGAAAGCCTCCACTCCATGAGGACACTGACATCGATATCCAAGTGGTTGATGTCAACGATAATTCACCTAGATTCTTCCAGCTCAACTACAGCACCACTGTCCAGGTAAGGACAAGCTTCCAGAGACCTTCGGAGGCCAGCTTTCCTTCTTTTCCTGCCTGGCTATAGGTGCTAAACAGTTGTATCAATCTGTCAAACAAGTCCACCTTGCCCATTGATATCCCCAAGGGCAACATACCCTGCTGAAAGGAATTGTGCATTATGGAATTTTTAAAAATTGCTGTGCTAGGCTCTTACACATCTCTTATCTTATGTGGGGCTTTAACAACATCAAATAGAGGAACAGGAAAGTACCATAGACTGTATATTTAAACCTAGGAGGCCTTCAAGATCCCAGACTATCTCAACAGACCAGTGGTATGAAAACAGTATTTGGAGAGAGTCTTAGGAGTCTAATATCCATTAGATATTATCAGGAAATTTAAGGAGTGAGAAGATAAAGAAGTAGATCATACAGTGCTGGGCCCTGTTCTGCTTTAGTACAGCTTATCCCACTTCTACATATTTTATAAATTATGGGTTTGAATAAGGATACTTTGGCTGAAAATAAGATAATATTTGATTAAAAGTGCATTGAATAACTCAGATTTATTATTTCACATAACAGGAAGGATAAGGATGGGCAATTCCATTTCCAGAACTGGTTATTTCATCTGAAAAATTATGTCAGGGTTTAGGTAACATTCTTTGCCTTTTCCTTCCGGGTTGGCGATAGCTGATGCCGACGGCTGTAGCTTATGATGATGGCTATTGCTCCAAGCATCACATCCTTGTCTAACTCTCTTCATAGGCAAACAGGCCAGGGATTCTCTTGAACAATCTTGCTTTTAGTTTAATTTTGTGAGTGTGTACATGATAGAGAATATAATACCAATCAATAGAACAAAATCATACTTTATTAAACATTTGGTGTTAAGAAGATTGGATCATTGACTAAAAAGTAGGCTTGACTAATTTGTAGGTACCGACTAAGAACTGTTCCTAACACTAAAAAAATTTGTATAGGATAAAGTTTAATTTACAAGTTATACCATCTTTAATAAACTCAGAGAAGATATTAATACTTAGCTGATATCCACATGGGAATGTCTTTATAAGTGTAAAAGTAATAAAACAAAACCAAAGGAAAATGTTGATTTAATGACACTAAGCTGTCATTTAGAACATTCTGATGATGTAGTTTATAGGGAATTGCACTGCTAACCAAAAGGCCGTATCCTCCGGTGGTTCGAATCTACTAGCAGCTTCTTGAGAGCAAGTCCCTCTAGTGCAGTTTACAGCTTTGGAAACCCAACGGAGGGCCAGCTATAGGTTCATTCCAATGCAATGACAATGAGAGATAGAGAAAACAGTTGAATGAAAAATATCAACGTAAACTTTTGGAATATTTAAAATTCTACCCCCAGCACTACCTATAAAGAAGGGCAGGTACAGTGATTGCCTGTGTTTGTTTGGGTGACTGACATGGGCATACTCCAGAGATAATGTGGGTTTGTTCTAGACCACTATAATAAAGCAAATATAGCAGTAAAGTGAACCACATCTGTTTTTCTGGTTTCCTAGTGCATTTGAAACTTATAAGGTTTTCCCCCCCTATACTGTGATCTATTAAAGTGTACATTAACATTGTGAAATGTTTGAAATATCAAAATGTGTCACAGAGACATGAAATGAACTCATACAGTTGGGGGAAAATGACAGCAATAGACTTGTTTGACATAGGGTTATCACAAACTCATATTTTTTTTTGGTTTTTTTTTTAAATTTTTTTAAAAAAATGTAATATCTGAAAAGCACAATGAAATAAATGACAACAAAATAAGATGTACCTCTATGAGGAAAGAGATGTTTAGAAGGGATCACTGAATGCAGAGCTGGCAATAATCATGCCATATGCAAAGATATGGTCATGTATTTGTAATTAGAATGCTGGGCTGTCATCTCTGCTGCATGTAACTTCACCTTCCATCCCTGAAGAAAACGGTGGTGCTTGGTTTTTGTGTTATCAAAGGAGAAATAATTTTAAATCTCCCACATGGTAGACTTCTCCAGGGTCAAATCAGATTATAAATTTTCTTGGTTATTTAGTGCTGCTGTACATAAAAATTCCAAACACCAAACACGATTTGTCTCAAAGAATGGAAATACAAGTTCTCTGTAAGCTTTCATTAAAATATCAATTAAAAAAACCAAAATATCAAATAATGCTTGGTTGTTGTTGTTCTTGTTAAGTGCTGTCGAGTCGTAGGCGACTCATAGCAACCTTCTGAACATAAGACCCAAACACTTGTATACTTTAAATGTTTCTCCACATTCATAGAGTTTCCGGAGGCAAGCTATTTCAGATTTGGACTCCACTTCTGCTTCCAAGCTTGTTTTAATCAGGAAGCTCCACCAAACTCTGTCCACCATGGGTAACCGTTGTCACATTTGACACCTCAGTGTCACAGTGTTTAGCATCAACGCAACCACGAGTTACCTTTGTACAGCAAATGGACAGACCAGTATTATACCACTTAGAAGACTGTTTAACCAAAACCAATTAAAACCAGGCCCGAGGGCTGCAGATTAAAATCACCCATCTTTGGCTTGGTAGCATCACTTTCTACCCACGAGGCCAACAGAGCTCTCTCTATGTTGTTGGTAAGTGCTGTTGAGTCATGGACAACTCATAGTGACCTTGTGAACAAAAGACCTGAACACTTGTATCACTTCCATTATTTCTCCAAGTTCATAGAGTTTCCAGAGGCGAGCTATTTCAGAATTGGATGCCACTCTTACTTCTTTAGGGGGGAAAAAAGAATTGAACTTTATTTCTCCTGGTGCTGGAGGCTAAAAAATCCAAATCAAGTTCTCACCTGTGCCAGTTTCTTCTGTGTGCCTTTCTCCTAGTTTCTGGAGTTTGCTGCCAATCTCTGGCATTTCTTTGCTTGTAGACAGGTCCTCTTACAGCATCTATCTTCTCCCTCTGTGTGTGCCTGTTCTGTCCTTTTTATAAGACACCAGGCAGAAAGGCTCAGCCTGAGACCTAGCCTACTCTGGTATGACCTCACCAGCACAGCAAAAGGAACCCTTCACTTCCAAATAGTGTTGTATTTACAGGTACAAGGATCAGGACTTGCACTTATCTTTATGGGAGCTCAATTCAATCATGTTCACTCTTAAGCCTAAATCAGATTCAGGGAATCAGCTGATTAAAGCTGACTAAGACCAGTCAGAGTCTATCTCTTCTTTGGAGGGCCACGTCTTCCCTGCAGTGACTGCCACCCTACACTTAAATGAAACGGAGGTATTTAAGGAAGGAGGAAGAACAGCTGCTGAATGAGCAAACATTCATTTCTGATTATAAGATTCTATTCATGGGAAATGTTATACTAGAAACAGCTTGATAATTATTGTGTTATAGGGTATAGAATTTTCATGTTAGAACAAGACTGAAACAATACCCAGAGGATATAGTTTTCTTAGTTGAATCATCTCTAACTTTCTCATTGAAGTTGTGTTGCATTAGTCTTCTATGTGAGAAATTATTTAAGGTGTTAAATTGATCCTACAGATTACAAACTCCCCAAATGAATCCCTAAACCAAACACCAAACTAGTTGCCATCATCTTCATCCTAACTCAGGGCAATCCCATCTGGGGAAGGTAGAAGTGCACCCCGGTTTTCAAGGCTGTGACCTGTCAGAAGCAGATCACCAGGCCTTTCTTTTGAGGTGTCCCTATGTGTATTCAACCTTTTTCCCTTGGTGGATTTGAACCACCAACTGATTATACCACTCAAGGACTTCTTACATAAATATCAGGAACTGCTTCTATCTATGATTCAGCAGTTGTATAACACTGGGCAACCCATCACACCGTGTATTAACAAATAGAGTGTTCTGGTTTCTAACGACCCTTCAAGTCTGAATGGGCTGGATTGGTAAGATCCGGGAGCGCCCTGAGAGAGCTCCAGGTGTGGACTAACAGAAGTCACCAACTCAAAGTGAAGGCAGAATAGATGAATATGAACTTGCGGTTCAAACACAGCCTGGACACAGTCAGAGTGCTGAGGATTCAGGCAAGCTAAGAGGATCCAGGGATTCTTAACAAGAGGGACCTGGACTAATTTGCTCTTTGGTTTTCTGTCATTCTCTCTCTCAGGAGAACTCCCCCATTGGCAGCAAAGTCTTGCAACTGATCCTGAGTGACCCAGACTCCCCAGAGAATGGGCCTCCTTACTCATTCCAAATCACCAAGGGAAACATTGGATCTGCCTTCCGTGTGACCCCAGAAGGGTGGCTGGTAACCACTGCAGGCCTGAGCAGAAGGGCACAGGAGTGGTATGAGCTTCAGATAGAGGTGAGAGATGTGCTGGGCCCTGGTGGTAGCCAGGGGGACAGTGAATGTGCTGGAAACAGTACTGCCAGTGCTTCATGATTAAGGGGGAAAGTGCATGGGTTATGTGTTAGCTTTGGGTGAAGAACTGCCCAGACATCACTGCATTAAATCTTCCTAACGTACTTCAAGGCTGGTATGGTTGTCACGTCCATTTTACAGATAACAAAACTGAGGCACAGAGAGGTTAAGTCACTGGCTTAAAGAAAAACTGCAAATAAGTAGCAGAAGCAAACTTCTTCAAACCCAAGTGCTCTGAACCTAAAGTCCAATACTTAGCCTCTGCTCTCTGGCTCTAACAGCTTGAAGTTGGCCAAGGCAGCTCTCAGAACCTTTTGTGCCGACATGACTTGCCTCCCAGAATTCTGCAGGGCTTAGATAAGCACATTTATGCATATGTGTGATTGTGTGAGAATTGTTCAAGAAACAAGGACCAAGATGATCATCAAACTTCTCAACTTCATTTGCCATAATTCCTTTCTTAAATCTCGAGTCATATTGACCTGACTTTTATACAACCTTCTCTCAGCTGGAGATGATGCATTGTTCCAATCAGTCAGCCATTCATTCAGTCAGTCAGTCTTTCAACAAGTATTTATTGAACATCTCCCATATTCCACGTCCTGTGTGAGCTGCTAAGAATAGAGCAGAGGAAAGCTACAGCGTCCCTTTTCAGCAGGAAGTAGCTAAGAGAATACGCCACCCCCTTTTCCTTATGAATCAGGGTGAAGTCTCTCTCAGGGAGGAGTGATAGGGAATGGCAAAGGACACAC